CCCCCCAAAAATATATTCCTGCGTGCGCCCCTGGCACTTAGTATTTATTATTTGTAAAAAATATATTTTTACTATCAAAATGTTTGTAATTTTAAACATTTCATGTGTATATTTTAAACAACTCATGTTCAAAATCAAATCTTGAACATCTTGTGCGTATACTTGAACAGATTCTGGTTGAAAAATAAACACTTTTCAGTAGTAGTTTTACATGCACTTTTTAGAGTGTAGCTTTTTGCTTAGATTAGCATATATGATTCTTTTTTTTCCTTGAAGTGGACCAGAGAGTGATCTATTCGAAAGAGTTTTATTTATCGTTCGGTTTGCTTGAAATTTAGTACGTAGAAAGCCTTTTTCTAGATTAACATACAGGATCCATTTTTTCTTCTAATATGTTCCGTTTTATTTGAAATTGAAGCTTACGGCCTGGATTAACATATAGGATTATTTTTTCTTATAGGTGGACCAGGGACCGATGCATTACCTAATATATAAATGTGATTGTCTGTTTGTTTATTACCGTATAACTTTTGAACCGCGACCCAAAATCGCACGAAATTTTGCACACTTATTTTTTTACCCCGGGAAGGTTATTGGCATAGAGAAAAATCGGCAGTACTGGAAAAGGGGGCGTGGCACCTCCCATACTAGCTAAAACTTTTTTCATGATGTATATCTCTTAAAGTATTTGGTAGAGTACTGAAGCTTGGTGTCGAGATAAGTGAAATTAATTCCATACTCATGCGAAATGATGGGAGGAATTGGAAAAAGGGGGCGTGGCACCTCCCGTAGGCGTGAATTATTTAATCAGCTATAACTTCGGAACCGTAAATCACATGAACTAGAAATTTGGTACACAGACATATGTATCTATGGTGCTTTTAGTAAGGTATATATATAAATGAGTCTGTAAAAGGGGGCGTGGCACATCGCAAAGGCGGAGAATTTTTATCAGCTTTCATTTCGGAACCATAAGTCACATAAGCGTGAAATTTGGTATGCAGACATAGGTGCTTATAGTAAGGTATACATAAATGAGTTTGTAAAAGGGGGCGTGGCACATCTTATAGGCGTGGAATTTTTAATCAGCCATAACTTCGAAACGATAAGTCACATAAACGTGAAATTTGATATGCAGACATATCGATGGTACATAGGTACTTATAGTAAGGTATGTTTATATAAATGAGTTTGTAAAAGGGGGCGTGGATCATCTCATAGGCGTGGAATTTTTGATCAGCCATAATTTCTGAAAAGTCACATAAATTTGAAATTTGATATGCAGGCATATCTATAGTACATAGGCACTTATAGTAAGGTATGTTTATATAAATGAGTTTGTAAAAGGGGGCGTAGCACATAAAATTGGCGTTAATTGTTGTATCAGCCATAACTTCGGAACCACAATTTACATGGCCCCTTTAATTCTTTCTGGTATGCCTTTCGAATTTACAGGACTCAGTTTCCAGACCGCTTAGTTTTTTTAATGACAATAAACAAGAATTCCTTAAACCAAAACCCAAAACTTTATCGAAAATAAAATCTATGATAATGTGAAGTATTAAAAATAATATTAGAGTTATTATTCCAAAGAAATTAGATAGCTAAAAATTTAATATTACAACATTGGTATTTCTACTATTACTTACATACATACATAATTTATTGGAGATATTTTAATGTAAATTAAAACACCTGATGTGCCAGAAAGTTATTATTACATTTAATTACATAACACCCAAGCTATACAACTGTCCTTCCGTATTCTCCTACAGTAAAATTAGAGCAGAAATAAAATATAACACCTTTACATAAATTATTTTGCCGAAGTGAAATCCGCGGGTAAAAGCTAGTATAGTATATATTATCTCCACCAATTATATTAAGAGAAGTGCCACCTTTTTTTAAGAAGTGATCCCGCGAACGGCTGTATCGATTTTTTTTTTTTTTAATAGGATATTTTGGTAATAGTCACCGCATACTTCTGGAAGCATTTGTGGTGGAGTCCTGGAACTTGGTATGAAGGTTTTGAAATCAATCAATCAAATCAATTGAGTTGAGTTATTAAAAATCGTATTTATGATCTGATCTGGCTAATATTCAAAATATGTATTGGTAACGTCAAGGGAAATATTTCTGCGAAAAAAATGGCTCGCCAGGTGGCTCCGGAGTCGAGTTATTACTAAAAACCGCATTTATGGTTCGATTTGCCTCAAAAGCAAGATGTATATTGGTAACGGCAGGGGCAATACTATTGAAAAAAGAGCCGCAAGGTGGCGCTGGAAACCAGTTATTGCTAAAAATCGTCGAGTGAAGACATTCGGCGACACAAGGGATTAAAATCGAATTACCACCGCTAAATCGACCACCATAACCATTGCGGTCCTTGTTTTACGGCGACTAAACAAAATAAAGACAATTCTTGATGAATGCCTACAAACTCCATTGTAAGACATTTATGGTATTTAGTCTGAAATAAGTCTATTTATATTGGATTTCTGTGGACCAATTATTTTCTCTCATTTTTTGCCACCACCTTTTCTATGCAGATTCAAGGACGATTCACCATCGAGCCGGATCATTGTTTCCGCAAGAGCTTCGTCACGGACATAACGCTTTCGTTAGGTTATTTAAGACGGCAATGGAGGATATGCTTTCTGCCGATCACAAAACCAAAGGTGAACGTGAATTATGGTGAAAACTTTGTACCACATATTTGAATAAAGAAAGAAATTTTGGCCGGGTCTGCTAGTATGCAATACAGCAATAAATACATTTTTTGAATTTTCCATTTTTAAAACACCAATGGTAACCAATAACAAACGAGCTGATTGCTCTAGCGATGCGTTTCGATAACTTTTCGGATGCGTTTTGGAAAAGTATACATTGTCAATATTTTGTAGTTCGGCGTTGTGGAACATTATACTTTGTACGTATGCAAAGCAATTGGCATTTGGGAAGTCAGCCAAACTTGTAGTCCTTTTGCCACGCCCAATACAAATTATATATCATTGGAAAGCTTAGAAAATTATTTTATTGCAAATTTTTTGCAAAAAAAAAA